GGGGGGATGGCCACGCTGCAATCCCTTCTCCTCCATTCTCCTCTCGGGATCTTAGGCACGCACGCACACGCGCCCGGCGTGAGTTTAAACCACCGGGTCTGGGACTCGAACTACAGTTGACTACGTGGGAGTCCAGCGACAGCCATTACGCTAACTGCTCGTCCCAATAAATATTTTTTTTAAAAGACAAACAATCTTGAAATAAGTGTCTTCAGGGTTGGTTCAGTAGCTCAAAAATGTCATCGAGTACCAGGTCTTTATATCCCTCCTTCGCCCCTTCCTGCTTTTAGCTACATGTAAGAGCAGATCCTCTCAGAAGACTGTGTGTGGTGGGGGAGGCAGCAATCAAGTGTTTTTATTTTCATTTATTTCCTTTATTCCTGATAGAGAAACAAATTTCTTTCCTTTATTCCTGATAGTGTGTGTGCAAACGAGAAAGAAAGAACCTTCGAAGAGGGCCTGTTCATACCACAATCCTCCTCCTTCCCATTATCCATCCTGTCAGGATCCTGGGCATGCTTGCACGTGTTCAGCCTGCTACCAGTAGACCAAAGATTCAAACCCCAGCTTCCTCTGTGAACACTTAAGGCTGGCCCTGTTGCTTTTTCGTTCTTAGGTTTATTGCCTCATAGGAGCCATACACGCTGTAACTCTAAACATCCTACTCTCAAGCGAAATTGGAAGGTAGGGAGTCAGGCAGGGTTAGGAAGAGCAGTCTGTTTCTGACTCACTTAATTCTTTTTAAAAAGAGAATTTTTTCCAAAAACTCTCCAGCAGACTTACTTGCACATCTCATTGTCAAAATCTAGGGCATGTGGATACTTCTAGCTACAAGAAAGGCTGGGAAATGAAATGGTTGACATTCTCTGCTTCTTATGGAAGATAGGCTCTGCCACCATCAAAGAAGGGAGAAGGGAATAGCTATTGGGTGTCAACCAATGTTCCTTCCAGGGTTTTCTTCAGCTAAGCTCTCTCCCTTTGGCCTGTATTCCTTTTTTTTTTTTTTTTTTTTTTTTTTTTTTTTTTTTCGGGGGTTTTTTT